GCGACTGGCGGATGGCGGCCGACTGCTGCTGGCGGGTGGTGGGTGGCGGCTCGTCGCGAGTGGTGGCAGCTGGCGGCTGACAGCTGGGGGTCGGCGGTCGGCTGCTGGCGGTCGGTGTCTGGTGCTGAGGCTGAACTTGACGGTGGGCAAGAGCAGCGGTGGTGGCAGAGGCAGCGGTGGCTGTAGCGGCAACGGCTGTAGCGGCAACGGCTGCAGTGGCGGCAGCAGTGGCTGCGGTAGTGGCAGCTGCGACGACAGTGGGCGACAGTAGGATGCAGCGAGCAGTAGTAGCTGTGGTAGTGGCAGTGGGCGGCAACAGCCGGCGCTGGCTGCTGGCAGTGAGCTGGTGGCGGCTGGCGGTTGGCGCTGGCTGCTGGCGCTTGTGGCGCTGGTGAGTCAGCAAGCTGGTTGATGGCTGCGGACGCTGCTGGCTGCTGGCGCTGGCTGGCGCTGGCGAGCTAGCTGGTGCTGGCTGCTGGCGCTGGCGAGCTGGTGATGGCTGCTGGCTGCTGGTGTCGGTGGCACTGGTGAGCCAGTGAGCTGGCTGCTGGCTGCAGGCGCTGCTGCCAAGCAGACGAGCAGGCAGGCGGGCGAGCCGGCGAGCGCCCGAGTTGGCTAGCAGACGGGCTGGTGAGCAGGCGAGCGGGCAAGCAGGCGGGCAGGCGAGCTGGCGAGCAGGTGTATTGGCGAGCACGCAAGCTGGCGAGCAAGCACGCTGGCAAGCATGCGGGCTGGGGGGCTGGCGAGCTGGCAAGCAAGCGAGCAGGCAGGCTGGCGAGCAAGGGAGCTGGCGAGCAGGCGGGCTGGCGAGCAAGCGAGCTAGCGGGCGGGCGAGCAGGCGAGCGTGTAAGCTGGCGCACGCTACGAGCGGGTGGCGGGAGGTGGGACGGCTACAAACTAAGGCGCTGGGGGGCACGGGCCAGCGGCGGCTAGCGTCAGCTATGCGACGAAGAGGAGAGGGTGGGGAGGGGACGAGCTACGAGGCGCGCAATTAGGGCCAAGGCGCGCTTGGCTGGGGTGTGCTAGGGCGAAAGCGTGAGTAGGGGGCGAGATATAGCTCTAGATGCCATGTTAGATTTTCGAGAGAATGGTCGAGCTAAGGGAAAATATCGAGGGTTACAAAGGTAGGACTGTACCCTCTAAGAATTGACCTAACTAAAGCTATAACAAATATAAATTAGCTAGCCTAGATAATTATATTTGTTGACACCCCCAGTTGAGGTTTTCCTTGTCTCCAACCAATCCATGAAGCCCTAAACCAAACACCCAACGCAACCCCTATGCGACAAACAATCGTTACCCTGCTAATGGGGGAAGTGTAGAGATGCAGAGGGGGATGGTAGCGAGGAGGACACTAGTAGGGATAGAGTGGTGGGAATGAGAATGGGGGAGGTGCTAATGGGAGCAGTGGGTGGGAGTGACTTCACTGGTCATGACAATGGTAGGAGGGATTTCAGTGGGGATGATGGCTCTAGTGACTATAATGGGTCATTGGGTGATGAATCTGGTGCAGATCTTGGGACCATCGATCACGGATAATAATGACAAGCTAAGTACGCTAGGCGGCCATAGAATGGCGTGAGGGTTTAGCTAGGAGAGAAATTGACGAGAGAAAAGAAAACGAGATTAGAAGATAGAGGGATACGAGGAGAGGGTTGTACTCTCTACAGTAGGTTTCAGTAACGCCTATCAAGCCTACAATAATATATAACCAATATAGTTTAACACACCCCCTAGGCTTGGTAGCGGCAAGCACACCTCACACTGGACATTAAGCCACACACACCCCCTAACTCTAGCACCCCCATACTCAGTAGCAGCGACGGCTACACCAGCCAGGTCAACCCCTAGGCACGTGAGGCGGCGACATCGACAGCAAGGGCTGCGGCGGCAACGGCGGCAGTGGCGGCGGCGGCGGCGTGGTCCCAACGCAAGCGGCGACAACGGGGGCAGCTGCGGCATCGAAAACCGCGGCGGCGGCGGCGGCGGGGCTCGCAGCACCCGGCGTGGCCGGGCTCCGCGACGGTGGGACGGCCAGCTGGAGTCAGCCATCGGCTGCGGCGAGGAAGAGGGGACGCAGGGGAAGGGGGCAGGGCTTCTGCAACATGCCTGTGGCTGGCATGCGGGCGTCAGGACCGGCGGCGCCTAAGACATCACGCGACCCGCTGCCGCATGTCGACGCCGCCACTGCAGCATAACGCTGCCTCCACAGCGCGGCGTCGATGCCTCGACGGTACGTCGACGCTGCGACGGCAGCACGACGCCGTCGCCGCGGTGTGGCGTCGACGTCACGCGTCGTGGCTACGACTGTAGCACCACGACGCCGTCACTGCAGCGCGGCATGGCCACAACGGCGGCACGAACGTAGCGAAAATGAAGACTGATGTACGAGTACGCGGCGGAAGCGTGGGGAGCAGGCCCGGGAAGGGCAACCTGCTCTGTTACCATTTCAAGCTAAGTACGCTAGGCGGCCATAGAATGGCGTGAGGATTTAGCTAGGAGAGAAGTTGACGAGAGAAAATAGGTCGAGATTAGAAGAGAGAGGGATACAAGGAAGGGGCTGTACCCTCTACAGTAGGTTTCAATAACGCCTACGAAGCCTACAATTGTGTTAATAACTTTTAACAAATAATCGAGGGTTGGACTCATAGAATACTGCAAGGTAAAGGAGCTAGCTTGGCTATTGCAACAAGAAATGTGAACTCCACTCTCAAGTTCCCCTAGGCCCCCTTTACATCCGGCGAAACAGCGCTGCTAGTGCAATGGTCCTGGAGGAAACTGACACTGATAACAAGTCCAAATTTCGTTTCATATTGCATGTTAGGCATGTGAAAACTCGTCGAACATCGTTCCATTCACCTTCTCCCAAAAAGAAGAATGCAAGGATATTGTTGAAAACCTTGTATGAATGTACTCATTGTTTAATAGTGGTAACACAATTGGCTCTTTTTAACAAGGCTTATGTCATGAACAAAGCCCATTGGCCCTAAATGTGAAAAACTATACCGAGTGAAATCCTATCGAGATTGTCAAGATGACAGTCAAGGCGGTCCGGAGCAGTATTTGGTGTTTCCGCGCCAGCATACCCGAATTGCGGGGGATCCACAGACGTCCCGCTCGTGATGTCAAAATCACTGTACCAGCTTTTCTCTCACCAATATTTTGCTACTAGGACTTGCCCGAGAAAAATCTTGTCGTGCGCATGTCGGGTATTTACCCTTCGAAAGAAAGCACAGAGCATGACCAGCACTAAACCTGTGTTGAGGGTGCTGTAGGCGAACACAAAGCGTCGTTTTGAGGATGGCTTTGAAAGCGTGTCTGCGCAAAGCCGTTGACTGCTTGCCACGTGGAATTTTTGCGTCAAGGAGCGCTCCTCATCGAATCCAACCGCACTGTCTCTGCTGGATGACCATCAAAGCCTGTTCATTCAGCAACTCGATTCTTTTGTCCAGCATTGGAGTCTCTTCATCGTATTCCTATCCTCGTCTGACCTTAGTGTGAACTATCAGCAGCTTCTGTTCCAACTTCAAGTTTATCACCGCCACCATGGCCTGGCAATCGTACGTTGATTTTGCTATGAGCGGAGCTTCGCTAGAAGCGGTTGCTCTTATCGGTCACGATGGCTCTGTTATGGCTCAGAGTGATGCCTTTCCAGCGGTAAGATGGGAATAAGCTCTGGCAGAAGTCTGAGCACCTTCATCAACCATCACAACTGAATTTCGTGCGGAACAGGTTCCCTTAGAAAGGATTAGAGATTTATAGACTCCATAATCGTTTGATAGCATACTTCATCAATAGGACCTCGGTCAGGGGTATTATTCCCGTTGACCCCTGAACTGTCTCTGGCTCGCTGTTTCGCTTACGAATCTCAGGTGCCTGTCGCCCAAGTCGAAGCAATCTGGAACGGATTCGACGATGGAGCGGCACTTCAAGAGAACGGGATATGGTTGGGTACGGAGAGGTTTGTGATGGTTCAGGGTGACCCTGGCACTGTCATCCGCGGCCGAAAAAAAATAGACCCGGAAAAGGTACATACCTGCATGTAGTGGCTTTGCACCTTCGGTTCTTGGCCCCTCTCTTTGTCCTATATCGGCTCAAAACGCTTGACGTGGATGTCCTCTTTGCAGAACTGGCGCAATTCCTCGAATGGTCGTGGTTGCTGCATGAAGAAGACAGGCACCACCATTTTGGTTGGCATTTACGAAGAGCCTGGCGTTTTTGCAGGTCAATGCAACTGTACGATTGAGAAAATCGGTGATCATCTTATCTCAAGCGGATTTTAGGCTGCAGTACGTTTGGTAAGTCAATATAGCTGTTATCACTTCGCCACCATACCGTATCACAGTTGGTGGCATTCGTCATGTTCATCTGTTGTTTGGTCAATCGATATAGCTGCTATCACCTCATCAACATACCTTATCGCAGTGGGTGGCATTCTCGCCAAAGCTGTTGTCACACCCCTTTTCACCAACATACCTTATCACTTCATATGCAGCTCGCCAAAGCTGTTGTCACACCCCTTCACCAACCTACCTTATCACTTCATATGCAGCTCGCCAAAGCTGTCGTCACACCCTTTGAGGTAGCTGGTGGGCAGGAGGGAGGGAGGGAGGAGAGAGAGTACGGAAGGGGGTGACACAGGGGGAAAGGAACGGCAGAGGGAAGATGGGTTCTTCATATGTAGCTCACCAAAGCTGTTGTCACACCCTTGGACGTAGCTGGTGGGCAGGAGCGAAGGCAGTCAGAGGAATGAGGGAGGGAGAAGGGTCGGATCAAGCTGAGAAAACACAGGAGGCTAAAGTGGAGGCGCAAGAGGAGCCCAGAGCACAGCACATCACGGGAAATACACGACCATGTACCAATGGATGGCATCTTGAGCATAACACGGTTAACATCTCTCACCCATAGTTTGCTGATACAAGGTGCTCTCCCTCTGCCCCCAACTCCCAGGGCAGCACTAGTCTCCTTATAGCTGATCCGCGTCCATTATAAGCACCCACTCCACTTCGTTAGCGTCAGGCTATTATCCAGCCGAAATTTCACCCCCACTGGCTTATTAATCGCAGGATACAGATGACGATGACATGACAGTGGGCGGCAGGGAGAGGTGGGTGGGGGGGGGGGAGGGGGGAGGGGTTGGGGGGAAGAAGATATTGAGAGGCATGCTTATTAGGCAATCAAGGGCATCAAGGCACGACTGGAAGAGCATTCCGCCAGCTAATCAGTCTCCAGTTCTAGGACCGGGATTCCACCACCATAGTAGGAGCTATGTCCAGGCCTCTGAACCCCTTAAGAGCATCCTCGTTACAAGCCAGGAGCTGTACGAGCTTCCCTGGCTGCCCGGGTCGTTTGAAGCTATAAGCCATAGGTCCGCCCTCCTCTCCCTCCTCATCTCCCCCATGCTTTGTTTCTTTTCCATCCCCCCCTCCTCCCCCGCCTCATCGTCTTCTACCACCTCATTCGCCCCCTCCAAGGGATTGTCAAGCCGATTAGTGAGGCCATTACGTCTCCCCTCTTTAGTGTCACCGTCGGCACTAGAAGCACCAGCAGCATCAGCACCAGCAGTAGCCGCACCATCATTGATAGCACCGCCACTAGCAGCACCGCCATTAGCAAAACCACCGTTGGTGGCACCACCAGTGGTACCGACTCTGCTGGTGGATTGCGTGGCGGTTGCTGATTGGGCGAAGGCCTGGTTGAAGATATTTCCACGCAAAAAAGAGGAGAGATCGCACTGTGAATCTGGACGAGGCTGTCGTCGGTAAGTGGAGGTCATTACTATCGCGTATAGAAGAGGGGGATGAAGAAGAACCTCCATGCAGTTCTAAAAGGTTCCGCAATGTGGGTGCTGACGTGGCGGCCTTAGTCGTAAAGAGATCGTTATCATCGTTTCTAGCAGAGGAAGATGAGGAGAGGCTTCCATGCAGATCTAGAAGGTTTCGCAATGTGGGTGCTGACGTGGCCACCTTAGTCGAGTGGGAGACAGTACCGTTGTCTGCAGAAGAGTAGGACGACAACGTGGCAAGCGAGTCCGCGTGTAACGAGGTAAGGAACGAGACGAATAGGGCGAGCAGGAGTAACGATCTAGATTCATGAGAAGTCCCGGTCTCGAATGTGAAAGGGAATCGGGGAATGTGTCAGTACCAAATTTCGCAATTGCGCCACCGACGCATTTTGACGAAGGCACATTTCATTCGCATACGAGAATTGATTTCGTCAACGCATAAATTAGGGTCCCTGGGGGGCGCCAAAGTTACAGATCTTCGCCGTACACGCGCCAATTTTCGACCCTCCCTAGATTTCATCCAACCGTCAGCCGTGTCAGAACAAATTTCGTTGTCACTCAAGCAAACTCGGGTGTCATCCGCGGGATGGCACAATGCAAGAATTTGCCCTCCTTGCCAGATTGTCAGAAACCTGTCAGAACCCTTGCACCTCATACCAAGTTCCTGACGACTAGTTCCTGACAGACGGCCTTAGTTCCTGACCAGACTAGGCCAGGGATCCATTGCCCTTCGCTGCTTCAGCGATTCAAATCCAAATTCAATTCTGAGAACGTCCGTATAAGTCTTCGTTTCTCTTGTCAGGCATCGGAAGTGCTTTCTGAGAACTCCGTTCCCGGCCGAATTGACGGCAGCTCATTGTACGGAGACGTGTAGTGAACGGACTGTAGAATCTAGCGAGCCATTTGACTTTTGCAAGTCAATGTCGAGATAACCTCTCAGGTCTAGCAACCTGGCTCTCTATTTTTCTTCGTCAGGCAACTTCAAGTCCTCGTCATATCCTTCATTTTCGTAAGGAGCAGGCTCCTATCGAATCTCTTTAACGTTCGCGATCGCGAGTGATCGGACTGGCTGAGAGCAAGATTCAAGAGTCCACTGGTACTGTGATAGGTTAATTAGAAATTTCAAAAACCTTCCACTCGTACTGCCGCCATGCCTCCGAAAGGAGGGGGAGGCGGAAGGGGGAGGGGAAGAGCCGCAGCAGGTGGTGGAAGAGGGGGGGGTGGCGGTCGCGCGGGGGGGCGAGTAGCGCCGGGGAAAGCCCCCGGGGGTACAGGAAAGCAGGCGGTTCCTGCTCCTAACGGAATTGGCGGGAAGGCTGAAGCATCAAAGAAAGTTGGTGGTGTTTCTGCAGCGACGGTGGAGGGAGGTGGAGGGTTGGGAAAAAATGCGTTTGAACGAGCTACAGAGGTTCGGTTGACTCCCGAGGCTGAAGAGCAGCTTCGGATGCTGGTGGTTAAGGTGAGAGGAGATCAATATTGGGTTATCAACAACCACCAACTAGCTGAGTCAAATGTACTCCACCCATTCCATAATCAGTGAAGTCCGCCTTTCTTTTCCCCACTTTCTGAAATGCAAATCTTTCAAATTCCCCTTCTCCTGTGGGTTGTTCTGACTGTCTGTCGAGTTAAGGCGTACGACAACAGCAAAGGCGTCAATGGCAGCACCACCACCACCTCAGGTGCTTCTCGTGCGCCCTCTTCTAATGCCTTAGACACCTATGCCTCAGTCACCTCTCCTGCAGACACTCCTGCTGTTCCCGTGACAGTGCTCGAGCAGAAGACAGCCAACAGGCGCCTCTTATCCGCATACGAAACACTCTCAAGAGAGGGATTCACTGTAGATGAGGTGGAAAAAGCCCTCTCGTCTCTCATCCCCTCATCACTTTCCCTGGAGGCGGCCTTTGATTGGCTCTGCCTGCACCTGCCACCTAAGCAGCTGCCACGTCACTTCACCTCAGCAGCTGCGACTGCCACACTGGCACGAGGCGACGTGGAGGTTGTGGTCGCCGCTGCTGACGTGGAAGGGGAGGGACAGCGAGGTGGCGAAGATGCATGGGGGGGAGATGGAGAGGAGGAAGGGGGGAGTGGGGGGGGGTCGTTAGCAAAAGAAGCTGCGAGGGTAAGGGAGATGGAAGAACGGAGGAGGGCAAAGGAGGAGGCAGAAGAGAGGGAGAGGAAGAGGGAGACGGAGAGGAAGAAGCAGCAGGCGGACTGGATAAAGCGGTATGTGACCGAATACGAGAGTGAGGAGGAGGAGAGTGAGGGTGAAGGGAAAGAAGAGGAGGAGGAGGAGGAGGATGACTGGGAGAAGGGCGCGGATGCGGGAGGGCCAGCGGGTGCATCAGCAGGCAACGATTTGCTGAAGGGATCTCCTGTTTGGGAGGTAATGCCTGGAAAAGGATCCCCTGTTGATAATTTGGTTGGTGAAAGACCATTAGAATCGTACAGTAGAGGTTATGGCTGCTGGAGGACCGGAAGAGAATAGACTAGTTATTTCCTATGTTTTCTGCCCCAATCAGCGTTGCTGTATAAGCTCTCACCTGCGATTTGTTGTTTCCGTCCTGTTTTGTCCTGTTATTCCCCATACGGTTGTGTACTGTTCTCCGCTGGCTGCAGGTTTGGGCTGATGCAAGAGAGAAAAGGCGGCGGAAGGATCTCAGGAAAAAGGTAACGACTTCTTCAGCTATCTTTCCAGGTATTTTTCCACCCCAAGCAAACCCCGCAGATTATTGTTCTTGTCCGTCCCAAGTCACCCTTCCAGCCTTGTTTTCTTCACAGCTTGCCTCACGGGATCATTCTGCCTTCACTCCCCCACCCCCACCCTCCCAACACACCCCCCTCCCTCCCCCCCCACCCACCCTCCCTCTATTTCTGTCACGAGAGACATTCAGAACCCCCATACCCCCCCCCCCCTTCCCCCTTCCCCCTCCCCCCCCAACTCCCCCACCCGCCCTCCCTCGCCTTTCCCAGGTTTCTGCAGAGCAGCGCATGCAGTCCCTGGCAGCAGACCTGGGCAGCTCTAAGGGCCATAACACTCTCCTCCCACCTCACCCCCACTTCGCCCCACCGTTTCTCCCTACCCCACATCCTTCTTCCTCCCCCACCGCCCCCCCATTCCCCACATCCTTCTTCCTCCCCAGGCCCCTGCAGAGCAGCGCATGCAGTCCCTGGCAGCGGACCTGGTGAGGGCCAAGTGCGAGGCGGCAAGGGCAAAGAGCAGCATGGATAAGAGCAGGCAGGCAGAGGCGGGGCTGCTGATTCGAGAGATCAAGGAGGAGTCTGCAGCTTATGGTAAGGATCCCGTTTGGTTCTCTCACTCTGTAGATGTATGGGCTTGTATTGGGTCTGGGGAGGGCCGAGAGCCAAGGGGGAGGTGGCAAGGGCGAAGAGCAGCATGGATAATAGCAGACAGACAGAGGCGGGGCTGTGATTCGAGAGATCAAGGTGGAGGCTGCAGCGTGCGGTATGGCTCGCATGGCTTCTGTAAAGTTAGGTTTATGTGCACATGGATATACAAGCATGCACGTCTGTATGTATGCGCACCAATTGAGCTTTCTTGAGGTGTTTGCTGGTGCAGGTTATTCTGAGTCCATGCTAGAAACGATCCAGCAGCAGCAGCAGGAGGCTGCAGGAGGGGCAAACGGGGAGGCAGAGGAGGAGGACGAGGAGGGGGGGTTCGGACTGTTTGGGGAGGATGAGGAGGAGGCAGGGCCAGCGGGAGAGGGGAGAGGGGAGGCAGTGGAAAGGACAGGAGAAAACGCATCTGGGAGAGGGACAGGGGCAACAGGAAAAGCAGCAGAAGGGGAGGCAGATGAGGAGAGTTTTGGACTGGAGGGGATGTCTATGTTCGAGGAGGAGGATGGCGAGGCAGGAGGAGGGGGGAAGGGCGCAGCAGCGTTGCCTGAGAGTGTTCTGGCGCTGCAGAGGAAGAGTGCGAGGGAGAGGGAGTGGCACCAGCAAGCGCTCACAGCAAGCAGGGAGAAAGGCAGGGATAAAGGGAAGGATAAGAGTAGAGATAATAGGGGAAGGGAGGCAGAGCTGCAGCGCCAACCCAAGGCTCTGCTGCAGCAGCACTGCCTTAAGGCCCTCTGGCCCGCCCCCAAGTACACGAAGCTTCCAGGAAGCAGCGGACCGGGGAAGATTAGTTACTCGGTGACTGTGGTGCGGCAAGGGGGAAAGGGAGGGGGGAGAGGAGGTGGAAAGGGAGGGGGAGGAGTAGGAGTAGGGCCTATCACGTTTCAAGTGCCGCCAGCAGAGGATGGGTTTGAGAGTGTGTCGGAGGCACAGAATGAGGTGGCTCTGCTGGCCCTGCATGCCCTCCTGCCGCACATGCCTCTACACCACCAGCTATGCTCGCCTTATCGAGACAAGTGGCTGGAGCTGGCTGAGAAACAAGGTGGGCTAGTCAGTCATGGGTCCGTAGGTTCTACACCTCTTACCCTCTCTGCTGGCCCTGCATGCCCTCTTGCCGCACATGCCTCTGCACCACCAGCTGGTCTCACCATGAGAAACAAGGTGGGTCGGTCATATTCGCTCGTTTCGTTTGTTTACTTCGCCTGCATTCAACTCCTCGCACTCTTTTCATCCCGTGCTACTTTCAATTGATCCGTCCTTCCTCGTATCCCTTTTCACTCATGCTCATTCCCTCACTCGTACCCCTCCCCTCCCCATCCAGCTCCCCACCAGACGCCAAGGACACGAGCAGCAGCAGCGCAGCAGCACTGGCAGAAGCAGCAGCCAGGTGCCACGCTGACTTCACCGCCCGGCTCACCACCATCACATAGAAGCAATCGTTCTCACTCAACCTCTCGTACCCCTCCCCTCCCCATCCGGCTCCCTATCAGACGCCAAGGACACGAGCAGCAGCAGCGCAGCAGCACTGGCAGAAGCAGCTGCCAGGCGCCAGGCCGACTTCACCGCAGCACTGGTGGATAAAGAGATCAGGGCCAGAGAGACTGCCGCTGCTGCTGCCGCTGCTGCTGCCGCTGCTGCTGCCGCTGCTGCTCCTGCTGGTGCTGCTGGTTCTTCTGCTGCTGGCGATGCTAGTGAGCGTGCACACAGGGGTGCTGAAGAGGAGAACGAGTCGAATGGAGGACAGAGGAAGCAGAGAGTTTCCTTCCTTGGGCAAGAGGAAGGTGAGGGCATCATCATCTCCATCTTGGCCTAGTCCTGCAAATTTCAAGGCATTGCTTCACGAAGCCTCAGTACAACAAGTCGCAAGAGTCACTCACTTCTTCCCCCCCCCTCGCCCTTCCCCTTCCCCCCCTTCCCGCTCTTCCCCCTTCCCCCACTCCTTCCCACAACCCTCCCCTTCTTCCTTTCCCCCTCCCTCACCCTCATTCCCCCCCTCCCCCAGGCCCAGCTGTGGTGCGCAGGAGGGAGGCTCAGAGCCGGGAGCTGCAGCAGCGGTGGCGCCAGTGGCAGGCCCTGGGAGGTGAAGGGGCAGGAGGAGGAGGAGGAACGGGCGAAGGCGAGGGAGAAGGCAGTAAGCTGACACAAGGGGTGAAGCAGTCGAGGGATGTGAGGGGGGGTGCAAAGGAGATGGTGGAAATGAAGCGGGTACGAGCGGCGCTGCCCATGGCAGCAGTGAGAGAGGAGCTGCTGCAGGCGCTGAGGGAGGGGGATGTGGTGGTGGTGAGCGGCGAGACAGGGTCTGGCAAGACCACCCAGGTGCCGCAGTATATCTTTGAGGAGGCGGAAGCTGCCGGGAAGGCGGGGTTCTGCAACATCGTGTGCACACAGCCGCGGCGCATTGCTGTGAGTCAATTGACGAACAGAGGGTGCACAGTACAAAACGAGGGTCCCCTTTGAGGCCATACCGGTTGCAGAGAGCGTGGCATGGCAGTGGAGTGACGCGAGCTGCCCATATAGGCTCAATCTACACCCTCCTACCTCCTGCCCTCCTAGGCTGGCTCCCACTCCTCCCCCTCTCTCTTACCCCCTCCCAGGCCATAATGGTGGCAGAGCAAGTGGCAGCAGAGACATGCGAGTCACTCCACTTCCCATGTGGTCCCCATGGTTCGCCCATTTTCTTCGTCCGTCTGCCTCATACTCTTGTGCAACCACCCCCCTGCTTCGCCCATTTCTCCCCTCCCAGGCCATATCGGTGGCAGAGCGAGTGGCAGCAGAGAGATGCGAGCCTCCTGTTGGGAGTGGTGGCAGGGCGGGTGTAACAGCAGGCGTGGTTGGTTACCACGTCAGGCTGGACGCAGTCAAGTGAGTGCGCTGCTTTGGGCTTTTGCATAGGGTGGAAGGAATGATTGCCTAGCTGTGGAGTTAAGGCCAGTGCTTGGGGGAGTGGTGGCAGGGCGGGAGTTACAGCAGGCGTGGTTTGGTTACCACGTACGGCTGGGCGCAGTCAGGTGAGAGTGCTGCTGGGGGTTTGGCATGGGGACCCCTTCTGCCCTTTGGGGTTCGGCCCCACGTGAGTTGCGAACTCAATTCAGGCACCTTTGCACGGAATGTTGAAAGGGTCCTGCAGCTGACCGGCGTGGGAAAGGGGGCCGGATTTCCTCCTGGGATCACTAGAAGCCCCAAAAAACAAAACAAAAATTGGGGTTCGGCATGGGGTTTGGCGTGGAGACCCCATGATGGGGTGGAATGATGGCCTAGCTATGGGAGTCAAGCCCAGCAGCTGGGAGTGGTGGCGGAGTGGGTGTTACAGCAGGCGAAGACTGGTAGGTGATCCAGTACTGGCGGTCGTGACCCATGGGGTGGTGGACGAGGTGCACGAGAAAACCATCCAAGGGGGCTGGGGAGAGCTCAAAGGGACTACCCCCGACTTCTGTTATGTTTTTTTTTTTTCTCCCATTGTTTTACCCCGCTTCCCTTGCCAGGACCTGGCACACCCGCATCCTATTCTGCACTACCGGCATCTTACTAAGAAGGCTGGTGGGGGATCCCCTACTGGCGGACGTGACCCATGTGGTGGTGGACGAGGTGCACGAGAGAACCATCCAGGGGGACTTTCTCCTGGTTATTCTCAGAGACCTTCTGATTAGACGGCAGCGGATGAGACGAGACATGCCGCACCTCCCTGCACTCAAGCTCGTGCTTATGTAAGTGCCAAGACGACCTTGTGCAGAGGTCTCTAGCGTAAATAAAAGCGCTGCCAATTCTGTAGCCACAGGGCCCTTGTCTCGTAGAATTACATGGTCTTACCCCTCTCCGCTCTCCCTCCCCTCTCTCCTATTCCCCCTCTCCCCTCCCCCCTCCCGCGTCTCCCCTCCCCCCTCCCGCGTCTCCCCTCCCCTCTCCCCTTTCCCCTCCCCCCTCCCCCCTCCGCCCCCCCCCCTCCCCCTTCCCCCAGGTCCGCCACGCTAGACGCCACCCTCTTTGCCTCCTACTTTAGCGGTTGCCCCGTCATTCAGGCCCAGGGGAGAACCTTCCCTGTGGAGATGAAGTACCTGGAGGATGTGTACGAGAGCACTGGGTACAAGCTGGCGTCGGACTCGCCTGCTGCCCTGCGGTCTGAGTCCTCCCAGTCCAGTGCCAAGGTATGGCTGTAGAGCTAGTAGTGAGGATGTATCTCGTCAGGAGTTATCTTCCCTGTGGAGATGAAGTGCGTAGAGGACGTGTACGAGAGCACTGGGTGCAAGCTGGCTTCTGATTCCCATGCTGCTCTCAGATCAGAGTCCTCCCGGTCCACTGCAAAGGTACAGTTCATTCAAATTGTCGTGTCTAGGTCAGTTGAGAGCCTTTCCAGTGGAGATGGGGTACCTGGAGGACGTGTTCGGGAGCACTGGGTACAAGCTGGCCTCTGACTCGCCAGCTGCCCTGTGGTCTTAGCCCCTCTAGCCCAGTACCAAAGTACGGCCATTCTCGTTGCATCAAACACATTCTTCTACTTGTCATAATCTGCCCGTGCTCTTTCTGTGCTCCCCTTGCCTCGCAGGGCTCCAAGGCGGCAGGCGGTGGTGGGAGCAAGAGCAAGCAGCAGCTGGTGAAGGCGGGATGGGGTGATGATGCTGCCTTGCAGGCCGAAACAGTGAATCCCCACTATGATGCAACTCGATACAGCAACTACAGCAGCAACACCCGCACTAATCTGGTAAACCCCTGTTTGTAGGTCGTTTGCTTATTTCCAAGGTGTGCTTTTACAACGTGTTTATTTCCTTCACTCCCTCGCTCCCATCTCTGCTACTTCCCCTCCGTTCTTCTTCCCCTGCTACACACTCCGATTGCCTACCCCCCTCCCCGGGCCCACCCTTTTATCTCTCTCCCATGCACACCAGCGGCGGGTGGATGAGGGATCTATTGACTACGAGCTGTTGGATGGAGGACGTCATTGCCCCCATCGACTCAACTCATCATCATTCTGCCCCACCCGAACAGCACTCTCCCCATCCTCTTCACCGCCCTGTCTCTTCCCCACACCAGCGGCGGGTGGATGAGAGCACCATCGACTACGAGCTGTTGGAGGACGTCATTGCCCACATCGACTCCACATGCCCCCCTGGCGCCATCCTTGTCTTCCTGCCTGTAAGCTGTCTTACGTGTTGTTTTCCTACCTGTAAGCTGTCTTACGTGTTGTTTTCCTACCTGTAAGCTGTCTGACATGTTGTTTTCCTACCTGTAAGCTGTCTTACGTGTTGTTTTCCTACCTGTAATCTGACTTGCGTGTTGGTTTCCTGCCTGTAAGTGCATGTTCCGTCTCTTTACTCTTTGAGCGGATGATCCATTCCCTTGCATGTTTCTTGCGCTTCCCTTGGGTGGGCAGTGGGTGGTGGGCGGTGGTTGGTTGGTGGTCTGTGGTCGTTGAGCGGTGGGCGCTGGGTGCTGTGTGCTGGGCTCTGGGCTCTGGGCTCTGGGCTCTAGGCTCTGGGCTCTGAGCTCTGGGCTCTGGGCTTTGGGCTCTGGGCTTTGGGCTCTGGGTGCTGCACCTCTTCGCACCTCTCGTGCCCATGCCCCTACCCCCCCCCAAACCACCTTGGCCAGGGCATGGGCGAGATCCATTTCCTATGGGACAGACTGGCAGCTTCAAGGCAGTTTGGGGTAGTGGCTGGTTGCTCTCGACTCTTCTTGACTCCTCTTCACCCCTTTTCATCCCTCGTCATTCATTGCCAACCCTTCTAGGGCATGGGCGAGATCCAGTACCTGTGGGACCGGCTGGCAGCGTCGAGGCAGTTTGGCGCGCCAGGAAGGGTGGAGTGGCTGCTGCCGCTGCACTCGTCCGTGTCTGCTGCCGAGCAACGAGCGGCATTCAACAGCCCTCCTGCTGGTATACGCAAGGTGAGCATTGATGCTCTCGGAACTTTGTTTGCCCAGTTTGAGGCACCAGGGAGGGTGGAGTGGCTACTGCTGCTGCACTCCTCCGTCTATGCTGCCGAGAAACAGGCAGCGTTCAACAGCCCTCCTGCTGGAATCCGCAAGGTGAGCAGCGGTGTGCTTGGGTCTTCTTCCTATTCTTCCCCTACCTCCCTCACTTCCCCGTCTCCTCCTCTCTCCCCTCCAGGTGGGGCTAACCACGAGCAATGCTGAGACGAGCATCACCCTAGATGTCCCTGTCCATGTGGTTGCGATGTTGCCATTCCTTCTTCCACCCCCCTCTCTTTCCTTCCCCCTCTCCCCTCCCTCCCTTCCTGGTGGTGCTGGACACAAACATAGACTAGTCGAGCATCGCCATCGACGACATTGTGTATGGGATGTTGTTCTTTGAATGGTTCCCATGTGCCTGCTCTAACCTACATTTCTGTGCTTGCACTGTTGAGCATAGCCGAGACACCAACACAGCTACAGTGTGCCCACATTTTGCATGGTTTCACCTCGGTATTTCAACCCCCTACAGGTAGTGCTCTCCACCAAAATAGCTGAGAGAGGAGCATCACCATCAACAACATTGTCTATGTGTGTTGTGCTGCCCATTCTCGCCCTTGTACCCTTTCTAACCTACTCTAACCTCTCTAACCTGTACTTTTCCCCTCCTGCCTGCCCCTCCCTCATTCACCTCCGCCCATCGTTCCGTCTGCAGGTGGTGCTGGCCACCAACATAGCCGAGACGAGCATCACCATAGACGACATTGTCTATGTGGTGGACTCGGGAAAGCAGAAGGAAACCCAGTTCGATGCCAGGAGGGTAAGTTGTTTTGGGGGGAGGGGAGTGGGGGGGGGGGTTGGGGGGAGGGGGTGTAACGAGGAAGCTTGTTTGGTCAAAGTTAGTGCATGAAAATTGCCGACTCATCTTGATGGTACCAGTTCATCTTGATGGTACCAGTTCATCTCGATGGTACCAGTTCATCTCGATGGTACCAGTTCCGTGTCCCCTTCCTACCTTACTCCATCTTCCCCGGTTTCCCCTTTTTTTGTGAGCGTCATACTCTCACTCACGCCTCCCATCACCACAGAGCATGACCGGACTCGTGGAAGCGTGGTTAGCAAAGGCCAATGTGCGGCAGAGGGCTGGAAGGGGAGGGAGAGCAACGCCCCCCCACTCGGCCCAGAGGGTAGGGAGGGTAGGGAGGGCAGGGCGAGTGTCTAATCGAGATCTCTTTCCCCATGCAATGCCGTTCCTTTTCCCAACCTACTGTGCAGGGCGTGACAAGTCTCGTGGAAGCACCGCAAAGGCCAACGTGAGGCAGAGGGCAGGGAGGGCAGGGCGAGCAGGGCGAGTGTCTAATCTGGTTCTCTCTCCCCATGCAATGCCGTTACTTTTCCCCTCTTATTACACAGGGCATGACCAGTCTGGTTGAGGCGTGGGTAGCAAAGGCCAACGTGAGGCAGAGGGCAGGCAGGGCAGGGCGAGTGCAGGCAGGGCGGTACTTTGCCCTCTTCACCCGCCACCGATTCGAGGATGTCATGCGGCCATTCCAGGTGTGGTTTGATTATAACTTTGCATTCAGTCAAAGGGGGAAAGTATGAGAAGCCTTGCTGAGTGAGGGGGCAGGTGGGGCAGAGGGCAGGCAGGCAGGGCGAGTGCAGGCAGGGAGGTACTTCGCCCTCTTCACCCGCCACCGAATCCAGAATGTCATGCGGCTATTCTAATTGAGGTTTGAGAATTATAAAGAATTACCTAGAACATTAGGCTGTCAAATTGGGGCATATTTGAGTTGAGAGCCTTTATTCCTGCTTTTCTTTCTGCGCCCGTCCTCTCCCTTAAGCACTCAATTCCCTCTCTGCCCACTAAAACTTTCCCCAACAGCAACCGGAGATCCAGCGAGTGCCGCTGGTGGAGCTGTGCTTGCAGATCAAGCTGCTGGCTCTCGGCACTCCAGCACAGTTCCTCAGCAAGGTAAGAGGACGCCCGGCCCGGATCTCTGTCCAGTGCTGACTCTCAGAGCGTTTCCAGGTTAGAAAGACACTCTCAAAGCTATGCTTGGCTGAGTTTTGGCTCTAAAGTCGCCTGCATAAAACCTTATTCACTCCCCATCCAGGCCGTAAACCCCCCCAAGGAGGATGGGGTGCGGAGTGAAATGAAGACGCTGAGAGAAGTAGGGACAGTGGACAAGAAAGAGGGTCTCACAGCGAAGGCGACTCAGTACTCGCCTCGTGCAGTCCTTCCCTCCACGTTACCATCTCTTGCAGGCCATAGAGCCCCCCAAGGAGGATGCTGTGAGAAGCGCGATGAAGACGCTGAGAGAAGTGGGGGCAGTGGACGGCTTCAGGCGACTCATATATCACCTCTTCCCAATACCCACCCATCTCACTCCGGGCATCTCCAGGCCATAGAGCCCCCCAAGGAGGATGCAGTGCGAAGCGCGATGAAGACATTAAAGGAAGTGGGCGCGGTGGATGAGAGGGAGGAGCTCACCGCGCTCGGGACCCACCTGGCTGCTCTGCCTGTTGATGTCCGGATTGGCAAGGTGAGTGGCACATGAAGGGACGTATTGTAGAGGAGGGAGGGCGGACCTCACGCCTGGTTGGCAGAGGGCGGACCTCACGCCCAGCTATGAGAAAAACGCGAGGGCGGACCTCGCGCCCAGGGCGGACCACGCGCCCTGGTTGGTGTGTCTCAGAGAGGATTAAGAAAAACGCGTCTTTCAAGGCTAGAACAAGGCTGGGAATGATGGGCTAATTAATATGGGCTCGCAATGGTGAGTGGACGATCACTGTTGCTTGGTCTGACGATGGCAACCTTCGCACGTGATGATCCCCTCCAGATGATGATCTACGATGCTTGCATGGGGTGTCTCAGCACAGCCGCCTCCGTCGCTGCATGCCCTCACTTCTTGCATTTGTTCAACTTATCCCATCCCATCCCATCCCATCCCATCCCATCCCACCCGAACCCATCCCATCCCATCCCCCCCAGATGATGATCTACGGTGCAGTCATGGGGTGTCTCAGCACGGCTCACCATCACTGCATGCCCTCACTCCTTGCTGTTTTCCGTCTCATCTCATCCCGTCTCATCCCATCTCATCCCGTCTCATCCCACCCCTTCCCATCCCCCCAGATGATGATCTACGGTGCAGTCATGGGGTGTCTCAGCACGGCTCTCACTATCGCTGCGTGTCTCAGCTACCGCTCGCCCTTCTCCACCTCCTTCCATGACGTAAGAGGTCTTTCATGCAGACACAATATAGCTGTTCTAGTGTTCTGTCATGATGTAAGAGCCTGCATCGCTGCTGGAATTCCCTCAGCAGTCGTCTTGCATTCGCTGCATGCCTCAGCTACTGCTCGCCCTTCTCCACATCCTTCCATGACACAAGGCTTCTCTCATACTCACAGTCTAAGAGTTCGTTCGTACTCACGCGGTGTAAGGCTTCTCTCACACCTTTGGGGAGCATTCACAAGTCACTTTGCAGTTGCTGGTTGCCTCTACTATCGCTCCCCCTTCTCCTCATCCGTCCACGATGTAAGGGGGGAAAGGGGAGTGGTAGTTTAGCGCCCTTTCAAAGACTTTCATCTTTGTTTCTGTAGGTGATTTTTTAGTCGACTCAAGAATCACCTACGGGAAAGGGGAGTGGATGGTAGCTTAGCGCCCTTTCAAAGACTGTCGTCTTTGTTTCTGTAGGTGATTTTTTAGTCGACTAGGAATCACCTACGGGAAAGGGGAGTGGATGGTAGCTTAGCGCCCTTTCAAAGACTGTCGTCTTTGTTTCTGTAGGTGATTTTTTAGTCAACTCAAGAATCACCTACGGGAAAGGGGAGTGGATGGTAGCTTAGCGCCCTTTCAAAGACTGTCGTCTTTGTTTCTGTAGGTGATTTTTTAGTCGACTAGGAATCACCTACGGGAAAGGGGAGTGGATGGTAGCTTAGCGCCCTTTCAAAGACTGTCGTCTTTGTTTCTGTAGGTGATTTTTTAGTCAACTCAAGAATCACCTACGGGAAAGGGGAGTGGATGGTAGCTTAGCGCCCTTTCAAAGACTGTCGTCTTTGTTTCTGTAGGTGATTTTTTAGTCAACTCAAGAATCACCTACGGGAAAGGGGAGTGGATGGTAGCTTAGCGCCCTTTCAAAGACTGTCGTCTTTGTTTCTGTAGGTGATTTTTTAGTCAACTCAAGAATCACCTACGGAAAAGGGGAGTGGATGGTAGCTTAGCGCCCTTTCAAAGACTTTTGTCTTTGTTTCCTTCGTTTCCCCGCCTTGTCTCTCTGTGTGAGGCCAAACACCTTTTCTGCATCTGTTACTTCTAGTGCTCTTCAGTTCACTTTACCCCGCCGCTACTTTTGAGCAAACTCAAAAGTCACCTCTTCGGCGTCTGTTTCTTTCAGTGCACTTCACTTCACTTTACCCCTCCGCTATTCGCTTCCCACCACTAATCCTATTTCGCCGTCACGTCAGCGCGACGCAGCAGACAAGGCAAGCGCTGGTGGCCAAAGTACATCACTGAGCCCCTTTATTCCCCTCTTCCTGCCACCTCTCCTACCACTCGTTCTCTTTGCCTCTCACCAGCGCGACGCAGCAGACAAGGCAAGGCAAGCGCTGGTGGCCAAACGGAGAGAGGCCGACCCACAAGCAAACTCACAGGAAGCAGGAGCCGTGGAGAGTGAGAGGAGTGAGAAGATGGGCGGAACGAAGGGAGAGAAGGAGACTTGGGATGATGACGATGATGAGGGGGAGGATGAAGGGGGGAGGACCGGAGTTGATGATAACAAGAGCTCAGCTAAGAATCTGGGAGTTACAGAAAGGGAGGCGACAGGGGGAAAAGTGGGAGGAGCAGGGGGGAGAGGAGAGGCAGGAGGGGGCGTGAGTGGGGATGACAGGGAATGGAACATGGCACGGGGGCAGCAGTCGGACCATTTGGCCATGGCGTCAGCTTTCAATGGCTGGTTAATTGCTCAGCAGGTGGGTGGTCCCTTGGAATAATTCGTTTATTGTCGAGCTCTTGGTTTCAGCTAAGTAGTACTTTCTACGCCCTTCAGGCGCTGGTGATTTGCACATGTGGAAGCTACTCTGTAAAAAATCGAAATTATTTCATCTAACTGTGTGATTCTAATGCATTGTTCCACTGCTCCCTCTATTCCTTATCCCTCTCTCTCCACTGGAGCATTAGAGAGGGTAGCAGAGCAGGGAGGGAGGGGGCTCTGCCAGAGGCACCATATGAGAATTTATTGTCTTTTCTTGCCTTCTTTTGCACTCCGATCTTTCTTCCGCTGTTTGCCTGGGAGAGCATCAGAGGGGCAGCAGAGCAGCGAGGGAGTTTTGCCAAAAGAACCATCTGAGTATCCCCGCTCTGCTCATGCTGCGGTATGTGCTCTGCATGATTCGATGCTTCAATGCTGCACGGTTCATGCTTCTGTGTGCCCTGCTCATGCTGCAGTATGCACCATCCATGCTTCAATGTGCACTTTTCACGCTGCGGTAGGTGCTTTTGACTGTGCAATAAGAGCTCCTCATGCCGCCGCGTTACAGGACGAGTTTCACTTCGTAACGTTGTTCGTTCATAGCGTCTGGACTCCGGTATTTATAGTGCCTCTCTCTCCCGTCCCATGCACTCCCATCCATCGCGTGTCTTTCCCTTTGAGATAGCATCCCTTGATCACTTACAGCTTTTCTCCTATCTACCCCTCTCGGTCCTCTATTTCTCTTGACCTCCCTGTCAGTGACATGAGAGTGCAGTTTGCTCGGCTACTCATGGATATCGGCTTCCTAAGGCAACCTATCAAGCCTCCTGGTTCTGCTGGCTCTCCTGCTAACAGGGTAAGCTCTGCTCCAGACTCCTCAGCATGTGCTACTTTCATCTGCACAAGCGGATGTCAGAGTCGTGTCGCTTAAATTCTTCTAGCTTTATTTCGTCTTGCTTACTCGCTTACTCGCTTACTTTCTTCCTTGCTTGCTTGCTTCTTACTGATTGTTTCTCGCATCCTGCACCTCCTCGTCCATCTGTGCCTTTCTTCCCTGTGCCACATGCAGGGATTTGATTGGCTGGATGATCCCTCTCAGCCCTGGAACAGATGCTCCATGAGCGCTCCTGCAGTGAAGGTGATTGTACTGAATGGAAGACTGATGATAATCATTGATCATGAGTGGGAGGTAGACAATTTTTTATTTTATTTTTTTGGGCTTTAAGGAGATCCCAGGAGGGAGGTAGACAAGGGATGATTTTTTAGTCGACTCAAAAGACTGGTGATAATCATTGATCATGAGTGGGAGGTAGACAAGGGATGCGTTGTCCACTCTTCCCAACTTTATTGCTCTCCCTTCTCCCCTCTCCCCTCTCCCCTCTCCCCTCTCCCCCCTCCCCTCTCCCCTCTCCCCTCTCCCCTCTTCCCTCTTCCCTTCTTCTCCACCCCTTTTCACTTTGCTGCCAATTTTGGTCCCCTTCCGTCTCTCCACCCCCTTCCTCTTCTCAGGCTGTTCTCTGTGCCGGCCTCTACCCCAACGTGGCAATGATGGCGCGTGACTCTATCGAAGCCGCGCACTGTTCACACGCGTCAGACCTCGCACATGTAGCAGGGGCGGCCGGGCGGCCACGATGGGTAACCTCCACTGGAGCTGAGGTGGCGATCCACCCGTCATCTGTTAACCACGCTCTCTCTGTCTTCCGCACTCCCTTCCTCGTCTTCCATGAGAAGGTAACAATGAGTTTCTGGAGGGTAACAAAGAACCGCCGGTTACAGTGCAATGTTTTGGAAGTGGTACACTGCAATCAACTACTTCCCTGTAAGGCATTGCCGTTCTAACCACCATTTGAACAATTGTCGTGCTTGCAGGTCAAGACATCTCGAGTGTACGTTCGGGACTGCACAGTTGTTTCTCCAGCAGCCATACTACTTTTTGGTGGACCAATCACCGTTCACCATCAGGTAATATGCATTCTCCGTGCCTGCTTGTTCTTTTCCGCATCTCACTGTCTCGCTGCACGGCTATTTGCGTGCTGACTGACAAAATCTCATTGGCTAGACCTGATTTTTTTCCTGGCTCTTCTTTCCCATTTGTGCTCAACCAGAGAGGGCGTGTGTCAGTGGATGGTTGGTTGGACCTTGTTGCTCCCGCTCAGACCGCTGTTCTTTTCAAGGCCATCCGAGGGGCATTCGACACAATACTTCGCCAACAAATCGTCCAGTCTCAGGTATGTGTGTCTGTCAGCACCACAAGATCGTGTATTATTGTGTTCTTGTATGTCATCCAACAAGCGTCATTGCATCGTGTGGGTTTTGTATTTATCGGCACTAATAAAGTCCGCCTGTTTCGTTTTGCTCATCCTGTCAGAATGTTGAACGTGGTGGCGATTCAAGCAAAGTGGTATCCACGGTTGTCAAGATTCTTGCAGACGCGGAATGGTTGCAAGGATAGTATCATCAAGATGGATAAAATTATCCATTTTACAAGATGTGAATTCACAATCTGATGTTGTGGTCAGAACGAAACAGAGTCTCCGTATTCACGATAAAGGTTGGCGAAGCGACTTACAGCGCGTTGTCATTCAATACACAGTTCAGGCATTGGTGAATCCCCGTCTCCTTGTGGCTGCTCTTTCTCGAGCACCACGCAGAATGACTGCCCTCACATTGGTCGTAACGCAACGTTAGCAACTTCGGCTTCCCGCATTTCTGATATCTCGGTTTCGTCGCAGATTGTCCATCGCTGATCGCCGTTCCAGCATTTCACAATGGGTTATGAAAGCGTCGGAGCTCCTTTTCTATGTCGGTCCCAGTTCAGAAATTTATCACGGTTATGTCAACCTTGTCAAAACAACCATGCGTCGTCCTCTTACTGACGGTCATTCTGCTCGGCGTTAGCAACCAGACTGATAGCGCTGCAAGTCAAGAGAACCATTTCCTGGCGTTTCGCCGGCTGAATGACGGTACAAATTGGAGGCAAAAGATATTACGCGTTGCGCTTCTGAAGACTGGAGTTCAGACGGATTCCCGTAACAATAGCAGTGTGAATGTCGGAAAGGAAGAACATGGAGTTGCATTCTTACTAGTCGACCCAAACATGAGCTCTATGACCATGTTCATTTCCGACTTGCCTTCTAAAGTGTAAGCATTTTGGCAAATTTTCTTCCTCCGATTGCCATGCCGCTCCGCTTTCTCACCTCGTGCCTTTCCTGTTTCTCCAGGATTCCTGGTCGCGCCGTTATTCAGGGCCTAGCAGGCTATACTATTGCTTCTTTCCTCGTAAACAACACATTTGTGGCGTCAAATCCAACCGGTCTTGCGTTTGCTGGAGTTATCCCACTGAGCATCACGAGCATTGAAGCTCTTCAGGCAAACCCAACAAGTACGTACTTACTTCGGCTTGTTTGTGCAGCTCACTTCTGTAAGGAGGACCATTAACTTCGACTGGTTCATTCTTTCAGGTTTTATTGTTCGTCTGGAGACAGTTCAGGGTTCAGGAAGTAATTTCGCCGGCAGAATCATGTCACCTTCTCAAGCTGCACAATGTCTACCTTCGCTACTGCTTCCAGATGCATTGCTCTTGGCTGACCCAAGCCTCTACTCTTCCCTTGCGATATCCTTCAACTTCTATGCACGAGGGGAGGTGAACATATCAGTGACACACGACCCAGAAGATCCCAGGCAGAGGCCGGTTCTGTCAAACATCACATCATTTGACTTGGCCTCAGAGTTTAGGGCCATTACAAGTGCACTGCCTGTGGCGTTTCAAGCAATGGTCGCTGGAGATGAAAGCAGTGAGGCGGAAGTTTCAACTGGCCTGACGAGTTTCCTCACTTCTGTTATACCAGCTCTTCCCGCACTAACCAAAGCACTACCCAGTGCTCAGAATGGACAACTTCTACAGGCTGGATCAGCTGCACTGATGGCCACTATGATTGCTTACAGTGGCTTCTTGCCTCCGTTGAACAGCCCCCGAATTCTTTCTGCCCTGTCTGCTTCATTTGAGACTGCCTTGCTTGTAAATCTTAGTCCATCATGACTCTGGTCTGTGCTTGATCATATAATGTAGATTTTTGGTGGTTATTTCAGGCAAGTCACCAAGAATGCAGTATACATACTGTAGGAAGCGAAGGGGAAAAATAAGACTGGTCCTCCAGCATTCGTCTGGTACCGATGGCGTTGCAACCTGTCTAGGACACACTCATCCCAAGTCTCTAGCTCCAGTTGAAGAACTCTGGCCCAGCAGAGGAGAGCAATTCCTTGCCAGCATCAATGCCCATCTCCATCATTTCGTCATAGCTGTAGGATCCCGCCCTTGATGTCTCAAGGACTGTTTGGACATAAAAGGGAAGGATACAAGTCACAAGTACTTTCTGGATACAACCGTGCATGACTGATGTGCACCAATGGAGGGTGGTATGAGTGAGGAAGGAGCTTGTGTGAGAGAGAGCGAGAGACGCTGTGAAAGGGAGGGGAGGGGGGTGGGGAAGAGAAACGAAGATAAACAAAACGAAGGGCCGAGCAAGTCAACCCGAGTAAGAAGCCAATAGAAGTGCTTACTTCTCTTGCCGTCAGGAGAGGCCACAAGACCCCTGAAGGAGCAGCCACCATTGGCATCGCGCTGCGCCAGACCAGCAATGGGCGTACGGCACGAGCCATCCAGCGTGGTGAGGAAGGCACGCTCACAACACACAGCCAAGCGAGTGTCTTCGTGGTTCAGGGAAGCCAGATATTCCTCCTGCCAGAGAAAAGAATTTACACCAGTGCTGCCTCAGTCTATGGCCAGGATACATCAAACCACCACCAACAAGTGACACCTTTCTTGACTCACTTGACCACTCCCTCCTTGCGATTAGCCTTACACCACTGCATTTGTTCATTATCAGAACCAGGCGCTACCCTACCCTTAACCTTTGACCAACCATAATTTCTTTACTCAGACAGGATGCCGTGTACTACGAGAAGAGTTGTCTCAAGAGAACAGGGTTAGGACATACCATTTTGGAGTCGCCGGTGCGGCAGGCAATGCCAATGGCACCCTGAGCGATGGCTGGCAGCATGTCTTCCGTGTCGAGGATGGCGGTCACGTGCTCGGTCATGTTCAGCCGCTTCAGACCAGCCAGGGCCAGCAGCGTCGCTTGAACAGCGCCTTCGCTCAGCTTCCTCAGACGGGTTTGCACGTTACCGCGGAAATTCACCACCTGCCGGAAGTCGAATCAAAGAAGAAATCCAAGTTCTATTTCGAGAATCGTCAACCCCGAATAGACCGAAGCTAGACTAAAATGACACCAGAAAAACTGCCCAATTTCGCAATCGAAGCGACGGGTTGCATTGGCACATTCTACGCACCTTCAGGCTGGGGTAGCGGTGGAGGATTTGCGACTGTCGGCGGAGGGACGCGCTGCCAATGACGCTGCCAGCGGGAAGCTCCGCCAGGGACTTGGCGGAGAGAGAGATGAACGCATCTCGCACATCCTCACGGGGGAGATTGCAAGGCAGGATAGTCCCCTCCGGAAGGTACGTCGGCACATCCTTCATGGAGTGCACGGCAATGTCGATGGCTCCGCCCAGGAGAGCATCGTCAACCTCCTTGGTGAACAGGCCCTTGCCGCCAATGTCGGCGAGAGGCTGGTTCAGGATCTTGTCGCCGGTGGTCTTGATGATCACAATTTCGAGGGCACCCTCCTCGGCCAGCTCGGGGTGAGCGGCCTTGAGCTTGTCACGGGTCTGGTAGGCCTGTGCGAGGGCCAGAGGACTGGCAAGGGAAAAGAGAGCAGCACAAAAAGCGAAGTCAAGGGTCGGAGGTGGACAATCATTAGGCGGACTAGCTGCGCCCTCGGAGCATCAGTGGTAGAATGCATGACACAGCGGAGCTCGTAATGAGCGTGAGGAAGTAGTAGAGGGGAGAGGGAGATGAAAAACAGAGGGGAAGACGAGGGTAGACACGAGAGTTCGGCTTCCAAGGCATTCGAACTCCAAAAGAAATGCGCTAGACCACTACAAAAATCTTAACCCGGCCAATCCACACCTGCCACGGGTGCCGATCCTGACAATGGCCGTCTTCACCTCTGTCGAAGCGACGGCCTTGACGACGCCAGCCCTTTGCGTCTTCTTCGGGGCGACAGCGGCGACATTCTGCGACGTGGAGGTCTTCCTCAAGCCCTCGAATTCTGCCGATCGCACAGAGCCAAGGAACGAGGCCTGCGACTGGACCAATGAGGTGGCCATAGCGTCTGGTATTACGAGTGTAATACACGTTTTGAAAGCTTCTAAATGGCCGACGACGCTGGCGATCCTTGCAGAATCAGACGCTTCAAGCTCAAGGCTGAGAGGAATCAAGCCTCACGATGACAGACTAGGGACAAGCCAGGCAGAATCCTGAAAAAGGGTTCTGGCGAAGTGAAAATACTCCAGCAGTCAAAACAGCACAGAAATGCTTTTAGCGGGGATGGGAGGGCTACTTTTGGTGTGGGATGGCAATCCGCCTCAGGGAATTGCGCGAATTGCGTGGCGGTGTGGTTGGGTGAGGTGGGGGTCAGAGCGCGCACTGGGAAACACGGAGGCCTCCAGCTGGCGCACGCTGGTTGCCGGAGGCGTTTCAAGGCTTCCACGCTATCCGGGGCCCTATCCGCTGACCAGTTGCGTTGTCAGAGAGGGTGTGGGATGGGAATGCCGCTACAGAGCATTCCCACAACAGCATCGCGTCTAGCTTCATGTATAAAATAGATATAGAATTCAGAGTTCTAATTTCAAAGGCGCTAAAGATTATTTAGGCCCGATTTCCAGATAGTTTTGCCCCTCACGATGACGTCGGAATAATGCTTTGCTTGCCACGTCGGAAAACCACCACTTCACTGGCACCACGCCTTTTTGTTCTGCTTCGCACACTGAAGTGAAATTGATCTCTTCCCACCTTTTCCCCCTCGACTCCCGGCCTGCTTCAGGGGGGTTGTCCCCGAAATACCATCTTAAAGCGAAATCTGGTTACCATTGTTGCGAACTCAGCTCTTTCAAACAAAACGGATTATCTAGAGATCCTTGTTCCTTGTGAACTCAAGCTAGTACCTTCGCCCCCGTAGCCATGGCGTCTTGCATTTCTCTACGCACCGCCACCGGCGTTTCCCCGCTTGCGTTGGTCCAGGATGCGAAATCCACCTTTCAACGCAATGCAGTGGCTCTCACCGCACGGCCGTCTGGTCTCCGTCAAAAGATGACGGCGTCCAGGCTGCAAATCGTCGCCATGGCCGGCCATGCTGGGGGTGTCGAGCCGGACCTGAGCGAGGAGTCACGGGCGGCATGGCTTACCGCGGGCGAGGAGAGCCAGCAGGTGCGCGTCTTATGGTCTTGGAGTGATTTACTGCGAACTAGTAGAAATTAGGGTTGCCTATGATTGGCTGAGCAGCGGGCGAGTAAAGCCGTGGCTGCCAAATGCAGCTACAATACGTTCGACAAGTGTCTGACGAGAAGTATCTCGCACGTATGAAAATAGTTTTGAGATCTTGGTAGGTCACGAATATATACTCATCGTTTCAAAACAATCGTTGCATGGCAATGCGAATACTGCAACTTCGTAGATCGGACTTAGCTGTCGTCTTCGTCTTACCCTCCGTATGGCGCCACTCGCTGCTGTTCGATCCTGAAACCCGCCTTAATCCTCGTCGCGTTCTGTTGCGCTTGCTGTTCACTATCGTTTCCTTCGCTTTACTCTGCAGGATAATACCTTCAAGTACGGCAAGGTGGATGGTGCTCATGCCTACCACGATGGCGATGATGGTACGTTGGTGTTAACACGTGTACATTCTATGGCGCACCATCCCACACCTATGTAGGACAGCAGGCCTACAGGCGTGTCAACTCGGTAAAATGTTGCATTCACATTTTCGGGATTCAATGGCGACTCAACAATTCGTTTTCGATTCGACTGAGAGGTTCCGCGGTTTCATGCCTTTGCTCCGTCTATCATCTAAAGTCCTTCTCCGCTGTTTGTTCTCTTCTGAACTTTTCTTCCCATCCTTTTCTTCCAGGCGAGTTCTGGAGCAACGTCGAGGCCTCTCTCAAGGAGGCCGGTGGCCCCGTTTCGACAGAACAAAGTGCGTATGGAAGGGGGACGAGAAGAGGAGGTGGGGGGGGAGGGGGAGGAGGGGAGGGGAGGGAAGGAGGGGGGAGGAGGATGGTGGTAGGTTCAGATGCCTGGAATGACGCTGGATTAATTACATCATGCAAGCAGCTGATAGGAATGAGATGAAGCTGCTCCTGCTGGTTTCTGACTCTCGGTAGCCGTGCCTTACGTTTCCTTGATGTTTGATGATCTGCAGAGGGACTTGCATGGGCTTTCCTTCCAGCCTTCTTCGCTGGTGTTGCTTTCGGCCTCCCAGTAAGTTGTTTTCGCAATGTCTCGTGCTCTCTGGTTCTTCCCATTGTTGACCATATCAATTACCATCAACGTTTTTTTTACTATCCTCTACCCCGCAACCCGCAACCCTACTGTGCAGTCTGAATATTACATCGGCTTCACAGTTCTCTTCGTTTTTGCTTACTGTGGAATTGAGATGGGCAAGCCATCAAAGCCTACACACTTTGAGCCTGATATGTACAAGATCAAGTGAGCTGTAGAGCACCATCAAACAGTTGCAACATTCAATATTTTACTATAATTTGTACTATGTATTCTCAGGACATGGGGTGCTGTAAAGCTGTAGGTCATGGCAGAGATGTACCTGCAGCTCTTGTCCTGAATACGTATTGGTTCTGATCAATTGCATTAGCAACTCTGGCCCTCTTAACCTAGCTTCTAAATACCCTACAATCGAATCCTAGTGCTTCAGATTCTCAACAGATTGGCGTCAGCTCAGAACTTGTAATGGCTCAGCACTAGGCTCTACTGGCGCGGATAATTGGTCCCAGACCCCACAAGCTGACGCTCGAACCAGGCCTAATGTTCCAAGGGTAATTATCCGGATTTAATTATTTTCCAGTGTTTCTCCAGGGGCCAATCCGGATTTTTTACGAGTGACATGCACAGGGGTTCCGGAAAATATACAAGTGTGTTTGGGCCCGGTTCCGGAAGAATCAGAATGCCCCTGTGACCCAACCCGGAGAGTTTTCCCCCTCACCCCCACCCCCCAGCCCCCATCACAGCCCTCCCCCCTTCTTCCCCCCGCCTCTCCCTTGCACTGTCACCATAATTCAACCCTTACAACCGAGACAGTCTCGAAAAGGCTAACGAGATTACCTGCCTTTGCATGTCAGTGGTGCGAAATCACACTGCACAGGTGAAAAACTCTGTCAAAGTAGCTCGAGCCTTGATTCCGGATTAAACAGAATTCGCCAAGCCCCCAACTCGGACGAAAACGAGTGGGGCTGGGGGGGAACTCGGGAGAAACAGACCTTCCCAAAACCTTAGCGTAGGCCCTGGCTCCAACAAAATCTCCAACAACCTCCACCAACGCGTCGTGGCTGACATCTCGCCTTAGACGGTCACCAGCATCTGGATCCAGCCAATCAAATGCACCTCTTCGTGCCACAGGCTAGCCTTTGATTGTCATTTTCCAAAACACTTTTACGGCACGGCCAGTCCTCAACCTGAAACGGAATGTGAAATATAGCTGTGACGCTAGTGTATTTTAGGTGATTTTTTTTTCTCAGGTCATTTCTGACTGTAGCCTTTAACCTTTTCCCTAGGACAGTAGGCAACCGAATTCAATGGCAGAAATATAGCTGTCTGCCGCATCGCAAACATGTCTAGCAAGTCCAGACATTTCCACGCCATTTCAGGGGGAGGAAGCCTGGACCAACGCGGAAAATCTACGTTTTTCAAGAACAATAACTCAGACCGAAAATTCTCGGACCGAACACACTTATGTGGTAACCACGGCAAACTTTGCGTTTCGTGCAATTTCCGTTTCATTTTTGTTATCCCCAAGTGCAAGGCTGATGCTAAAATGACAGAACATCCAGCTTTTGAGACCACCACTGCCCTCCGCCACCTTCCCGCCAGGCTATCCCCTCGTCGGTTTGCAATGACTGGGTTGGAAAATCCGCGTGTAACAGATTGGCCAATCCCTTTGCGCAGGTGTACAGAGGGGCAGGAAACGTAGGGTCAAAGCGGGCAAGCAAATGCATACCCGAAGCGCGCAAATAGCCCCGGCGACCAGCCACACTGAAACGAGAGCCCCTGATTGGTCAATGAACTCCGCAACCCACGAAACTAGCCCCCCCTTCCCCCACTGCATTCTTCCCCATCCGTTCAACCTCTCCCCCACCCCTTCTGAGTCCCCTCTCCCCTCTCCTCCGCTTATCCCCCGATCCTTGCACCAACTGCACTCCTCCCCCCTTTCCCACGCCCCCATCCCTCCCTCCCGCAACTCCTGCTTGAGCGTGTAAAACGCGCACGTCCACTCCACTCCAAGCACTCACGACAGCCCAGCTAGCTTCATTCAGAGCAGCAGCCCATAAAGGTCAACTTTCTCGAGTTGTTGGTTCTCCTGCTCCACGTGTTGGCTCATTTTTCGTACATTAGTTCCGATCACCTACGGCTTGCAGTCTCCCGCAGTATTTCTCGTGCGGCGTCGATCGTTGTTCCAGGATTGTACATCCGTTAACCATCCATTAACAGCAGGGCTCGTACTTCTCGTCCTTCTCGTCCCCCACGGTGCTTGTCCGTTAACCAACGACCACCATCACAATGGCGGCGTCGTACTGCACGTGTTCCGGGTGCTCTTACAACGCGGACGCGCCTGGGGAGCTTCCGTCCCAGATTCTCGAGGTTAGTGACTCCTCTTCTCCACTGGAGACGTTCACTTCAAATGAACTTCAATGACGCTCGAATGAACTTCAACGACGTTCCCTCCCTCCGTTACACGCATTTCTTCACTCTGTTTCTTTCTCGGTCCCCCACGCGTCAACGTGCTCTTGTGTTCTGTAAGCGCTCATTCCGATCTCCTCCTCCCGCTCCTAAAGTTGGTTTTTCCCCCATCCTTCCTTCCGCCATTCTCCTTCCGCCCTTCTCTTCCGCAGGCCAATGGCTTCCCCTCGGAGCTCCTCCCCGCGCACGAGGTCGCGCACTGCGAAGGCGCAATCACCGGGCCCTTCTCGATCAACTTCAAGCGTCCGATCGACGCCGTGATCGACGGCTACAACGTGCACTATGACCAGCAGGTCACCGGCACGGTGGAGCACGGTTGGATCCGGCAAGTCACGGGGATTAAAGTGTTCTACATGATGGCGTGGGTGCCTGTAGATACCGCACAGATCGGCGCGTCGTGCGGCAATCGGCTATACTTCTACGTCGGCCGACTCGTCTACAAGAGCGTGGCGCTCTCCGCGTTTCCCGGGCTGTGGGAAGGCCAGGGCGCGAAGAACCAGAAGCAGGCGCAGAAGGCGCAGAAGCAAAGGCAGCTGATGCAGGTGGATACGTCGTCAGACGAGGAGGAAAGCGAGGAAGACGACGAGGAGCGGTGGGAAGATGCGCCGATGGACGGAAGCGACCGCGAAAGCTTGGACTTGAGCGATCAGGAAGCGGGGGAGCCGGAATCAACGGCGGATTTGGTGCAGGCGAAGGAAGGCGCGGCGGGAGGTGCTAGAAGAAGCTTTTTTCGTTTCAGGGCATGAAGCCATGACAAAGATACATAACGAGGCTCGTCAGGGGCCAGTCCATTATACTACCATACCATCAGGACCCTTCCTCTAGGCGATCTTCTTGGCGATCTTCCAGGCGATCTTCCAGGCGATCTTCCAGGCGATCGTTAACTTCTGTATGATACCTGGAGCTTATTCTGCTCTTGCATCAGGCAGCGCAGGATCTGAAGCAGCAGGACCCCTCTCCTGCTGTCACACGCACTAGCCGCTCACAAACCTGGTTCACCACACACTACTGGGGGGGGGTGTCATCTTCGCGTTCTGATTTCTGCGAAGTCCGTCCTCGCAGCTCATTTCTCGCCTCTTGGTTGGCTTCTGCGGAGCCCATCGTTGTCATCCCCAGCCCCATTCTCCGGCTTCGGCTGCATCGCTGCTCTGCCCAGCGTCACACTGTTGGGTGCGAAGCTAGAAGAAGTATGTGTGGATGGTGGGGTGGGGTGTTATCGGTGGATCCGGCTTGGAGACGAATGCATGATCTCTGGGGTGACGGCACTCACGAGTCATGGGCACTATAGCCTAACCACTTGCACCTAGCCTTGGTTGGTTTCTAGGAGGCTGATTTTGCCATAAGCTGCTGTTGGTTGGTTAGCTGCTGCTGTGCTAGCAGCCCAGCTTGCTGCAGTGTAATTGCGTGTGCTTGTGGGGCTTGATGCCCATGCCTCGTCAGTGCCATACCTTATTCTCTAAAGGTATTTTCTTTCTTTACATTCACTCTATCACTCCATTACATGCCTCGTCGTCAGTGCCATACCATACTACACATCGTAATGCACAACAAGATGACCATTTCTTGGCGAGTTTTGTTATGAATTAATCAGAGTAATAACAGGTAGTGTAACAAAGGAGGGCGTAGGCATTTATAGGCACGAATAGAGATAGCCGAGTGTCAAGATTATATAAGTTATATATAATTGATAGGCTTGATAGTTGTTACTGAAACTTTTTGTAGAGGGTACAATCCCCTCCTTATACCCCTCTCTTCCTAATCGACCCTTCTTCTTTCTCGACACTTTTCTCCTCACGTTCCTAGGTCTAATTTCCTCCCGCCATTCCATGGCGGCCTTTCCTAGTATCCTAGCTTCCTAGTTCAAGAAGCTAGTGTCCTAAGTTCTGAGACCGAGAACCACGCGAACAGGTTGGCGCAGTCCAGTTGGCGAAAGCTATGGAAGCGCCACGCGTCTAGGTTTGGGTGATAAAATACGGCTAGGTTAAGAGCTAGGCATTGGGAAGTAGTGAGGCGAGAGGTTTTAGGCTAGGAGAAGAGAATTGGACTAGAAGAGAGTGGGATACAAGAAGGGGGTTGTACCCTCTACAATAGGATCCAGGATATACAGTACACCTATCAACTTATACATATATTTATATATAGAAGTTATAGGCTAGATAGGTGTATGTTCTTAGAGGGTACAACCCCAACACTTTATCTCTCTTGTTCTCTCTTGTTTCTCATTATTCTAGTATTCTAACATGGTATCATGAGTAGGTTAGGTCTGTTAAAACTAGGAACTAGGTAGGAGGAGGAGCCATGAATATGGCAAGAGGTTTTAGGCTAGGAAAAGTTGGTGAGAGAAAAGAGAGTTAGGAAAGAAGAGAGAGGGATACAAGGAGGGGTGTTGTACCCCTTACAATAATGTTCAGTAACATCTAATCTACCAAGCCTACATATTATATAACTCAATATATAATTTAACACACCCCCTAGGCTTGGTAGCAAGGACCCACACACCCCCACACCCCCAAACCTAGCACCCCCATTCCCATCAGCCACGACTACTCTAGCAGGGCCAACCCCAAGGCCCTGGAGATGGCGACGGCGGCCGTCCCGGCAGCGGCGACAGCGACGGCGACGGCGGGCGGGCGGCGGCAACAGGCCTGCGGCGACGACAGCGGCGACGGCGACGGCTTCAGCTTACGACGGCGGTAACGGCAGCGGGCCCCGCCCTTCCGGCGGCGTGTCCATGCTCCGCGGCAGGGGGACGACCGGCGAGAGTCAGGCGACGGCTGTGGCGAAGAGGAGGGGACGGAAGGAAGGGGGAAGGGGCGGGGCTTCGGATCTTCAGCGCGGCGCCATTGCTGGCGCCGCGCTTACTGGCGTGTGGGCGGGCGCTCTAGCGGCGCCACATGCGTCGCGCGGCCGGCTGCAGCCCGACGCCACCGTCACAGAGCGGCGTCGACGCCGCGGCGGGACGTCGACGCTGCGACGGCAGCACGACGGCCCGACGCCACAGCAGCGCGTCGGGACGGTAGCGGCACGACGCGGCCAGCGGCATCACGGCGCCGCCACTACAGTACAACGCGGCCGCCATGGCCGCACGAGCGAACGAGGGCGAGTACGCGGCGGAAGCGTGAGGAGGCGGTCCAGCAGGGAGGAACTCCTGCTCTGATAGCATGTTAAAACTAGGAACTAGGTAGGAGGAGGAGCCATGAATATGGCGAGAGGTTTTAGGCTAGGAAAAGTTGGTGAGAGAAAAGAGAGTTAGGAAAGAAGAGAGGGGGATAAAAGGAGGGGTGTTGTACCCCCTACAGTAATGTTCAGTAACATCTAATCTACCAAGCCTACACATTATATAACTCAATATATAATTTAACACGGTCTGCCCATCCGCTTCCGCCCCTCGCCCTAGCCTACCGCGCCTCGCCAGCCCCTAGTGCGTCCGCCGGCCCCTCGTGTCCTTCCGGCCCTTCTCGCGCCATAGCCGGCCCCTCGCGCATAGCCGGCCTCTCCCGCCTAGCCGGCCCCGTGCGCCCAGCCGTCCCCTCTCGCGCCGTAGCCGGCCCCTTGCGCCCAGCCGGCCCCTTGCGCCTAGTCGGCCCCTCTCGCGCCGTAACCGGCCCCTCGCGCTTAGCCGGCCCCTCTCGCGCCGTAGCCGGCCCCTCGCGCCTAACCGGCCCCTTCGCGCCCGGCCGGCCCCTCGCGCTTAGTCGGCCCCTCTCGCCTAGCCGCCCCCTCTCACCCATCCGGCCCCTACCGCCTAGCCGACCTCTCCTGTGCATCGCCGGCCCCACGCGCCTCGCCGGCTCCTCTCTACGCCCCGGCCCTTCCCGCACCTGCCCGGCCTGTCACACGCCTGGCCCGACCCTCGTGCGCCTCGGCCCCTTGTGCGTTCGCTGGCTCCACACGCGCCCACCGGCCCACTTGCGCCCTCCTCGGTCTTCCACCCGGTCTCCGCTCCGGCGAGTTCTGCCGCCACGTCGCTGTATCGCCGTGCCGCTGAGTACATGTGTCCCTGTGCCACTTTGTTCCTATGCCGCTGTGCCGCTGTGTCCCGGCGCAGCTGAGGTTACGCGATGGCAGATGGCATGCAACGTCTTGACGCGGAGGGACACGCGATCAATTTTGCCTCCTGGCTTGTCGATCTCTGCCGTCACCTCATAGGTCACCACCAAGATGGGCACTCCCTGGCTATGCATGTTGATGGCTTGCTTCCCCGCCCCTCCGCACTTGATCCCCTCCCTGCTGACCCCACCACTGCTAAGAGTGAGGCCTTCGCTGCTGCTGCACTCGCTCACGCTGTGTGGGACTCTCACGATGCTGTAGCGCAGCTTGCCATCATTCATGTGCTTCCCCTGTCTGAGCATCCGCGCTTCACTGCTGTCGCGAACGCCAAGGATTTCCTAGATGCCGTAGTTGCGCGTTGCTCTATACCTGCCTCTGCCTCCGCTGGCCGCTTGATCCTCCCCATGCTATTCCCCGATCTTTCCTCTTTCCCCACTCTCGCTGACCTCGCTACTCACCTCCGTGCACTAGAGACTAGCTATCGGGTTGCTAGCACTACCGCCCAGCTCACTGCCTTCCCCCCCCCATTCTGCGCTACCCTGTACCTTATTGCCATGCGCCTGTCTGACCGCTTAGCCACTGCCCGTGACCATTTCCTTAGCCAGCACCCTAGTGACCTCACCCTGACTGCCTTTGTCACAGCCCTTTCTGAAATAGAGACTCGCCAGTGCACTATATTTCAGTCGAGCGGTGTTGCGGCGGTCCCTATCTTTCAGGGCTGTGCTCCCTTCCAGTGCACGTACGCTGACGTCGCTACAGCTGCTCCTGCCACTGAGACTGCAGCGGCGGCATTCTTGCAGCAGCAGCGAAGGGAGGGTGTGGTGCTTATGCTGGTGGTGGAGGTGGTGGTGGTGCAGATAGTGGTTCGGACGAGGGGGCTAGGACAGGCGTCCAGGAGCAGCAGCAGCCGCAGCAGATGCAGCGGCAGCAGCAGCAGCCGGGGTGGCCAGGAGCCCCTGGAGGTGGTGGCTGCAGTGGCGGTCCTCGCAGCTCGGCGTCTACCGGCGGCTTTGGTGCTGTGGGCTGCCAGTACCAGCTCTAGACCGGGCCCCTCCGTGGCATTATGTGCTGCCGCCCGCACCGGACCGCCCGCTGCTTCCGCCGCCTCGACGACCTCTTTCGTCGCCCGGCCCCGGACCTCCCTGACTGGCCTAGTCTCCTGTGCCACGGTGTGCCTGTTTTTGACTTAGACATGGATCAGATTAGTTCTGCCCTGCATTCTCTGTATGCTGACACTTCTAGTGTGTCCGGATCTTATTACCCTGTGTTCTCTAGCTTAGTCGTAGCACTTGTGTGTAGTACAGACACCCCTGCTGCGTCAGGCATAGGACCGTTTGCATTGTCTAGCCTAGGCTCTACCCTTGCTCCTCCTTCGTACGCCGCAACCGCTGCGCTGTCCTTCACACTTGACTCCGATGCGTCTGTCTGCTTCTTCCGTGACCACGCTGCGCTTACGCCGCTTGCCGCGCCTACTGCTGTCGCACTTGCTGACCCCTTCTCTGGTCCTGTAGTTGCTCGCAGCGACACTACCCTTCCCTGTCCAGCGGTTCCCTCGGGTTCCCTCTTAGTCCTGCACATCCCCTCGTTCTCCCGGAACTTAGTTGGTGTCGGTTGTCTTCAGGACCTCGACGTCACCACTACGTTTTCGGGTTACGAGCGGCACGCCACCTGTACCGAGGCTGCCTCAGGTTCTCCCCTTGCGACGTTCCCCCGGGACCCGGTGTCTGGGGTCTTTACACTGGACACTGCTTCCCCTCCGGGTGGACCATCCTCCCCGGGTCCTGCGTCTACCCAGGTCGCCGCTGCGTGCTCGTGTCGGTTGCTCACTAACCTGTCGCTTCTATGGCACCACCGCCTAGGTCACCCGGCACTCCCGCATCTGTGTCACATGTCCCAGCACGGTCTCGTCCTAGGTCTCCCTGCGTCACTTCCTGCCCTCCCTCCCTCGCCTGCTCCGCCGTGTACACCCTGCGTCAAGGCCGGCTGCGCCATGCTCCTCACTCCTCCTCGCTGCGTCCAGCCACCGCACCACGGTAAACCCTGCACCTAGACGTCTGTGGCCCAACCCCCGTCCCTGGACCGCGTCGCGAGCGCTACTTTCTAGTGCTCGTTGATGGCTACACGCGCTACACCACGGTGTTTCCCTTAGAGCGGAAGGCCGATGTGCAGGAGGTTCTTATCCCCTGGGTCGTAGCTGTGCGCCTCTTGTTTCTGATGACTTGCACTCGTCCAGATCTTGCATACCCTCTCAGCATCCTGGCCCGCTTTGTGGCAATTGGCAGACACCGAACACAGCACTGGTTGACAGCTAAGAGGGTTTTGCATTACCTAGCGAGTACATCGGGCATGGGGCTAGTGCTGGGAGGACGCAGACCAGTGGTCCTTACTGGGCACACAGACGCTTCTTGGGCAGCCGACGCTGAGACCCCC